CCATACAAGTTAAAAACTCTTTAATTTATATATCAACTTTCCTTAGTGACTTCTTCATATCACAAGTAAATTGAGTTTTTAATCCCAATTATTCTTCAAACAAGATCAATCAGTAAATTACTCTTTTTTTAACAGAAGTAGTTCTCGTTAAGCCATACACCATGGCATTGCCTCTTTAATATGCATCGTACTGCATTCTTACGCATTGTTTCTCGTTAACCCTGTATCGGATGAAAGTTAAAATGTAAACGAATTCCAAAATGAATATAAATGTGTGCGGCGCGTATGTGTTGGTTGCAGTCGAAGGCCATAATGCAAGTCAGTGTGCAAAGGACAAAAGTCAAAATCTGCCTGCAATACATATATCACACCATAATGACAACAAGAACAACAACATGCTGCTTGCTTGCTCATGTCTTCGTTACAAAAATTAAGAAACTTAACAAAAGTGCGGATCAAAAAAGGTACTTCGGTAATAAATTTAAATACCCAAAAGTACAGAAATAAGAAGGAAAAACGTAACGAATAAATTATACTTTTTTTTTTGTAGTTTCTTTTCTTTTTGGGATGTTTGCGCGATAATTAAATTGTTGATGCAAAAACATATGCATGTATATAGCGAATGTGTTCATATTAAAAGAAGTCAAAGGCATTGCAAATTAAATGGCCAACACAATGAACGAAGTTCTGAATATGTAAACGTGGGAGAGTGATGATGTTCGCTTACACAAAGATTCTGAAAGGAATGATCAAATTTAGTTTGGACCAAAGTTCGGTAAACAAAATTCGAAAAAAAATCTATGAGATTTTTATTGTTTTGTAACTAGGATTATTTCTTAAATTGAATGGCTTAATGTAGATCACGACATAAATATTTTTGAAATGTAATGTTTTTTTATCATTCCACTTCAGAAACACCCTATTCCAAATACACCCCTTTGAATAAGTTTTAAACGGTTGCAAAATGTTGACAGTGTCTAGACACCAATTTTAACGAAGAATTTGCTGACTCCAGCAATTGGCGCATATGTATTATTATACTATCATACACACGTATATCCTATTTATACACCCAGCAAACAAAACATTTTGGAGTTCCAGGTGAAAGTTAGTTGAAACTGTAGATTTTTGCTTCCAAATCTAAACGACAGATTTAGCGAACACTGAAGGCTTAAGATCATTAACCACGCTTGGCCAAGTTGATGGACTCAGATCGTAAGCTGAGAGCAATTCCTAAACAAGGTGTTAAAATTAATCTTGTTTTGGTTGAAACTCCGGTCACGAGCTTATTCAATATGTTATTATAATTTAGTTTGGAGTTATTGGGGGGAGTGCTATTAGGGGGGAAAACTTCAGATTATAAGAATACGTGTTGTATGCCATATGGTTTGCTGGGCATCTCCACCCACAAACACACACGTATATACTACCATATGTTCTCAACGTGTATGTGCTTCCCGGTGTAAAACAAAGAATTTTAAAACTTCCCAATGAGAAAAAATATAAAAAATACCAACACATATACAGAATAATAATGAAAAGCTGAATTTTACAAATTAACAAAAGGTGAATGTACAACAGGGTGTAATGAAAAGTATATTTGGGTTGAAATGAAATCTTAAAAATCTTTATAACAATGTGTAATTCAAATTGCCGCAATTTGAGTAATATTCCATTTATATTCGAGTTTGTATTTGTAATTGGAAATATATTTTCTGAAATTCAAATATGATTCGAATATTACAATGTCGCTTCTATTGTATATCACTTCTAGAAAACACTCATTATTTCAGTGAAATTCTAAAAATTGTTTTATTTTATTGTTCTATACCATCTTGTTCTATACCCTCCTAGCTTATTTTTAAAACTAAATTTAATTGAAAAATAATCATTTATTAATAAAATATTTAAGTTTGAGAGAAAAATGTATAGAAGTTTCCCAAATCGTTTGTGATGTTTAGGTGTTCAAAGATCAAGATTTCGTATTATATGGAATTACATATCAATGATTTTATAATAGAAGATGAAAGTGTATATTTCTTAAAAACAACTTTTGAACAAAACAAACCTAATATTTCAGTATTTCCATTTCATGCAATGTTATTAATAAAAGGATTTTGAACATCCTAGACATACCAACGATGCTGAAAGTTTTGGTATGCACCTTTATTTACCAAAAGATATCCTCTTTATAATATGGGACTTGAATTGAATCTGAAATCTTGAATAGTTTTTCTTACAAATAATAGCTCTCGCAGAATCTAATTTGTTGTTATCAGTAATTTTTCAGGTTGATTTTAGCCAACCCAAGATTCAACTTTGAAGTACAAAAACCTCTTTCATCTTCTAAAGCAATCTGCATTCGTAGTAAAAATTCAGCTTTGTTTTCGACCATAACAAAAAATATTCCCATTTTCAACACAAAACTCATACAACAAAGACTACAGACAATAATCTGTAAGGGTAATTGTGAAGACGACGACGAAGATGATGATGACGACGACAGCAATGACGATGACAATGATGCTTATGACAATAACAAAAAAACATCAACAATGTCACAAGTCATATGTCTTTATCAAGGGGAACAAAAATAAAATAGATGTGAAGTTTTAAAGGTGGATGCTGTTTTTTAACAAACAGCCATCCTTCATGACCATCATCATGGTGAGGAGCAGCAGCAGCATCAGTATTGTCATCATCAGAATTATTTGTAGTGAAATTTTTATGTCTGTTCAACATCAGAGTTTTTACTTTCACAGCGTTTATACTGTGCTGACATTTCTACTACTCTTCTTATTTTTTTTTTTTTTTTGGTGTTTTGTTCATTTTTCCCAAAACATTTTTCATTGCATGTTTATGAGTTGTGTGAGTGAGCGTGTGTGTGTGTATTTGTGTTTGTATTTCCAAGAATAAGAGTGGGTATTGTATAGCGTGACATATAACAGCACATTTACAGTTGGATATAACAACAGCAATGACTCTCTTGACACAGACCAATACACACAAACACACACACACATATGTTTGCATTAACATCAACAATCCCACACAAGCCCGCGCTCGCATACACAATCACTCACACATACATATACAGTCAATAGCAAACAACAAACATTCATATAAAGTTTTACAATACCAGACGACGCGGCATTTTAACCCAAGTGACAGGTTAAATTAAAACGTCACATAAATCTTTACTAGAATTTTCATTAAAATACTTAAGTGGCAAAAAAAAGAAGGATACGATGAAGAAGAAGAGGCAGCAGCGAACTGAAGACGACTGAGCATACCTCCCGAACAAAATCAGCTGTGGCGTTGTTGCCGTTGTGTTCTCATCAACTTCTCGGAACAATACAAAGTTGTTCACTTTTCTTCAACCACTTCCGTTGGCAGTGAAGAGAGTGAGCGAACATAGGGAAACACGCACACCCACACCTACGTACACTTGGAAAAATATTGCCATGAAAACAGACGAAATTGAAAGAATTTGTTGTTGCTGCTGTTGTTGTTGTTGGGGCAGAAACAACCACAAAAATATGTTACACTTGGAATAAGATGTGGCAGAGTTGTTGCCGTTAAAGTTAATGGCCAAATGTAAGCGCGGGAGCTTGAGAGAACAGCAGCAACGACAACAACAACTACTTGTCTGAAATTGAAACTAAAAACCGGCGAAAACCTCAACACGAAACTATCTTTGACACAAGTTGCAAGTTTGCTTCAAGCCTTAGAAATAAAGAAAACGAAGAAGATGCAGAGGAGGAAGTGCTACCATCACCAACCAACAATTGTCGTAAATGAGAACATTTGCCTTAGACATGATTAAATTTTCTAGGAATTTTCATTTAGAACTTTCGTTAGGATTACTCGATGCTATTTAGTGTGTTTGTGGTAAATAATTTATTAGCTGTATATGTGTTTTTGTATACATGTGAGTGGTTGTGTATGTGTGTGTGTGGGTATGTGTGTGATCTGTGCTTAAGGAAACTTTACTCAAGACATAATAGATTGAAACAATGATAATGCCACAGCTAGAAGTTTTGTAAGGAAAATCGTTCGAAAATTTGCAAAGAATAGTTAATTGTTGTGGTTATTTTCAAGGTTTACAAAATGTTTCGTAAAGGAGATAATATTGTTGAAATTATTTATTAAGGATTTTTAATAAATTCGTTAATGATAAATACGGGTAGGGAGGGGATTGGGGATGATGTATTGTGGTCGGTCAATAAGCCAGAAGAAATGCTTCAATGGACTCACTGGACTTTTAAGGTTTTATAGAGAAGGAATCATGCCAAGAAGTAAAAGTAGTGTTGTTTATAGCTTTCGATTTAAAGGAGAATTGCTGTAGATCAGCTTAAATTTATTATTAAGGATTTTCTCTCTTTAGTATTATAACTCTCTTCTCTACTTGTAACCGATTTGTTAATGTCTTCCTAATTAAAAACAACAAACCCGATTTTTCAATTTAAAAATATGTCAAGCAATGTTCTACATTTTTGGGTAACAACAAATCGAATTTCTACAGAAAAGGAACATTATCAAGAATGTAGGTCCAGGACACACACATTTTTTTCATCTATAACTGTAAAAGAAATACTCTGATATGTCCGGCTAATTACTAAGGCACAGATAGAAAAATAAAATGCAACTTCTACACAACAGCATTCCTTTGCATGTGCACATCCATACACTCATCACACATGGATATACACATATGTATACATATATATGTGCATATATTTCCAGATGAAAACAATTTCAGTTTCAGTTGCAGTGTTAATTTTGGTTTAAAGAATTTACACAAACATTTGTCATATTGATTTATAAAGGACCAAACAGTACACACACTCCTAGCTGATATAGTAGTTGTTGTTGTTTTTTCTGTGTTGGTCATCATTGTATAGCTTGTGCAATTCTTTGGTATTCAGTGTGTTTTTTTAATTTAGATATATGCTTTGTTCTTTTTTCTGGGTAGTCGTTTGCTGCAATGTTAAATTTACCTTGGAAAATATAGACGCACTATTTCACCAGCTCGTCCTTTGATGTGATAACTGCATGAGGTGTTTGGTGGATACCAATGGGCTATACTGAGGAATATACCCTCACTGGCACTGCTATCTTTGAGCGAGTCTGAACTTAGCAGCCAATCGCATATGCCGTGTTTAATGCCAGCCGTTTCAACATGACCTGGCCAATTGCCAACATTGAAATGAAACCCAGTATTCAGTAGAGGTCCAGCAGGTGATGTAACGAACTCAACGTACATGTATTGTGAAGTGCCTGTAATGGAAGAAATAACAACAACATGAACAACAAAAACGATATCACTGTAAATAAACAAATTCATACATATGAAATGTTGGATGGGTGGAGTGAGAGGAGGTTAAGAGAATGCAGTTGACATACATTCGAAGTAGTATAGATGTTGCTATTGGTAGCATACACGGAGCAAAATTAAAAAAAGTGGCATAATTAGAATTTGTTCACTTGTCTATTTGTTAAAACACCTTTACGGCCTTATTACTACAGTCCTATATAAATGGCGGATCAATTATTAGTATTTTAGGGTTTATACTTTCCCACTAACAAATAGTTGTTTTTATAAAACAAAAAACTAGGATTACGCCTGACTCTTTTGCAATACAAAATACAAATCGTATCCGAAATAACCCGCCAACACTACTGAAGTTTTATTAAAACAGTGAATCCTTTTAAAAAGTAACTACTTACTCGGGGTTTACACATGCAACCTTTGTAAGCAACACTGCCGAGTTCTTAGGAGAGAGAGGTATGAAAAGTGACAAAGGGGAAGAAATTCAAAATAAAATCACAAAGAGCAGGATCAGAGTTGCTACATTTGTAAACCTGAGTTAGGCTGAATACAATTTTTATTTGGCGAGGGCATATTTACCATAAGCCAATATTCTTAAGTATTGACATTGTTTTGTATTAACATTTGGAACCTGATAGGCACCTGACTATAATTTACGTCTACTATATATCACCCACCTCTTCTATAATTCAGTTATGTTTGAATTTAAGTTCTTAACATTTGTACATTCAATTTTAAGATTTGTTTTTTAGTGTTTGGCGGGTTATTTGGGATACCATTTGTATTTTGTTTTTGCAAAATAGTCAGGCTTAATAACCCAAATAACCCGCCAAACACTACTGAAGTTGTAGACGAGGCACGCTCATACTGTTTGGTTTATTGCTTTAACTAGCAATACCAACAGCAACGTTATGTGCATTCGTCACAAAGTGACGACACATAGCAGTGGGAAATGTATTGTAGTTGTCTGTAAATGCCTTGTTGACCACGAAGTCAGGCGCCAACGAAACGAACTTCTCATTGGGGTCGTATCGCTGGTAACGTAAGAACTTCGAATTGTCACAAGACATTTGGGTTTGAAAGGTTTTTTTGTAAAGAAGCTATTAATAGCTTCTGGGGAGAATATCCCAACAAAAAACTAAGGGAACTGATGAGGATCAGTGGCGAGATCCGAAACTATAGTCTTCCCTGCCTTACCCCTCGGCGGACAATGCCATACATTCCCCACTAATAAATAGTTGTTTTTTATAAAAAACAACAAACTGGGATTAAGATTTGTTTTTTATTTACATGTACCTCAATCTTGTTAATCAAATTTTCTTTCACTGTATCCATGGCCATCGCATAACATTTTGTCACAAAATGTAGACATCAATGCCCAATGCGGCTAAATGACTACCAATGCAGCTGTATGTATGTAGGTGTGATATGCTGTTGGTCCAAATAAACATTTAATAAATATTAATTGCATTAGCATTCCAATATCCCTCATCTGACATATTTGGGTTTTGATTATGAACTCCGTTTGTACAAATTTCAATCTGTAACTGGCCCCACCCACATGCCCTCAACTGGACAGCAATATATACCAACCGAATCCAAAGTGACAAACGAATAGCTACTGATACAAACAGACATACAGCCAGTCCGAAATCTACAAATGTTTATTGGTACTCATAGCCATTTACATAGCTCGGAACTACTATCGATCTTGTATCGATTGGGGGCAAAGGTGGAATTGGTATCATTTGTCGGATTGTGCATGGGATTGTGAATGTGTGTGTGTTTCTGTGTATGTTCAACAGAATGGAAGGATGCATTTACAAATTAACAGGACATGTCAAAGGGTCAACAAGGCAACACACATACACTAATAAAAAATCTACATAAGCTATCAGAGTTGCAACAACTTTTTCCGTTACTTTATCACCACTACCTCCGCTTCATCGATACAATCATAGGTTTGCATAAATTACTTCTTTAACTTGGTTATTTACATTGCTAGCCTTTTTTCTCTCTCCTCCTTTAAGGGATAAATACAGTTATTTGGCAAAACATTATACTAAGTGAATAAGCTAACTCACTTTGGGGAAATGGAATTTCTCTCGTTTTTTGAAAATTTTAATTTTATTCACATTCAATTTCAATACTACACTGAACTGTTGCAATTGAAAAGTTATTCAATAAAATGCCAAGTACATTCACATATATTCGTGCAAGCAGCATACACATCGACGAAATACATTTAAACATTTTTCAAATGCATTGGGGTCAAGGGTTATTATTAGAATACCGTTAGAACTTTAAAGTTCAAGTGGTAAACTAATATTATTTCTATAGATAACATGTGAATTCTATTAAAAAATGGCATAGTCATCACTTTTCATATTAAATATTGAATCAAATATGGAGAATTAAATATGGCGAGAATTTTTTCAATATTATTTACTTTTTTTGGATAAATTATAATATTTTACAACGTAAAAATCATTAATAACCGAATAAAAAATAAGTTAAAGCTATTGGATAATTTCCGTTTTAATTGACGTACTACTGGCCCTAACGAATATTTATCGCCAGGTGTGGAGCTCTGTAACTAGGCAAGACAACAGAGCGTGTTTCGTTAAGGTAATGCCTAGAAACGAAGTTATGTTTGCCAGAAGTATGTCTACCATAATTTTAATTCAACTTATTTAAAACCCGAACGCATTTTATAGAAATCCAAGGCAAGTATGAAATCTATATGTTATTAGATTTATCACTGAGACCATTTGATTACGAAGGAAATATTTGATAAGACCCATCAAATTAACCCAGGATTTAAGATTTCCGAATGTCCTATAACGTTTATAGATTTCAAAGATTTCTACAAATTGACTTCAGCAACTTCAAAATATTTTTGATTTGTTTAAAATTGACTTCTGCCATTTCAGAATTACATTGTTTTTTGAAAAAAAAATCATTGGCATTAGGTAAACTATCAAATAACACGATTTAATATTTCTTTTAAACATTTCCTCGTACTTACCTATTATACTAAATGGGAATTTTCCTAGGCCACAGAATTTACCAATTAATGGGGAATGTTCATCGCGTCCATCGTAGACAGCCAACCAATCGTAGGGACAGTGCTCGTTGCCGGAACCAATGTGGCGAATGGGACAGGTCATGACATTTTCACATCTGTAAAGACAGGAGAAGACAGAGAATATAAACATAAAAATCAAAACAAATGACACCGGTGATGTCTAGCGGAATATTTAGCAATCATAAATTTTAATGTTACAATTTTACTTGGAAAGTGTCGCAAACATTCATTTCCTCACTTTGTCTCGCTCACGTTTTCCGTCTGACTACTTGTCCAGAACATAAGCTAGGAATTAATGACCTCGTCTTCGCATCATTACAACGTCACTTGGCTTGAAGGTTTAAAACTTTCTAATATCCTCATCATTGTCAGCGCTGTATCATGAAAATTTCAACGAACCACCACGACGGTGACAGCATAAAACGCAGAACTTTTGAACATTGGCGCGAACAGAATAGCAGTCCTGAATGCTCATTATCATCCATGAATTTTAACAAAACATTTCAAGTGATTATTTTTTGGGAATGTGATGGCGATTTGGTTGATTGTCATCGTCATCATCATTATTCACAAAAACACACGCACATTTCCAGTCCAGTAACCGTCTGTCGGTGTGATTGTCCGTTTTGGTGTCTCTACTTTTTGTAGACCACATGATGAAATTGTTATCCTACTATTATGGTGGAATTTAGCGATAACCATAATGGTCATGCTGAAGTACAAATGCAGCAGTACCATCACCACCAGCAGGGGTGGTCAATGACGACAGTGAGAGAGCGAACGAACGAAATACTGTCACATCAGCATTAACATTAGAATCAAAGTCAGCATAAGCAGCATCAGTCAGTCAGTAACGGCGGCTGCCGACATTGATCAGGACAATGATTATGTGTCAGTCCAGCAATGTTCCTCTGGATGTAATACCAAGTTAGCCATAATTATAAAGTTACCGAACAATGTCCACATTTTTTATTTTCACTGTTTTGTTTTTGTTGCTGTCGCTCATTTTCAATTTCCCTCCAACATTTCCATTTTACATTTAAATAATTGATGATGACAGGCAACCGTTTTAAATGAGGGTATGTGTCCAAAACATTCACCTCTAACTCTGCTACTAGCTTCCGCCTCGTCGCCTCTCCCTGCACTGCCGTGGTCGTCCCCATATATTTGCTGTGAAACATTTGCCAGCAATTTGTAAAATTGAATTATGATTTATGATCGAATGATGATGATATGCATTTTTCACAAATTTTATCGTTTCCAATGAAACGTTGCAATGTTGTGCCAGCCGTAAACACGTTGTGCCACATTGAAACAATAATAACGATAATAATAATGATGGTGGCAGATAACGTTCGCTCTTCGTGTGTTTTGTCCTCAGGGTGACCAGAATGGAACAGGAGGTGCAATTTAATTTTATTAAACTTGGAATAGATAATTTGTCACCCTCGTCACGTACATTTGTCACAATTTGCTACAACGTGGAGTTAATGTTTAGCAAATGATATTAACTCGGTGCGGTGAATAATTATTGACGTAATTTTTGGTATTACCAGAAGAAGAAGAAGGGGGCAATAGGAAATGTGAAGGCAAATGTAAATGATTAAATATGAATGTGGTTTCCTTCATCACAAGGAGGTTCAAACTCATAGAAAGAATTTTAGTATAAAGCGAGGAATGATTTGAATAAAAATGAATAATATAAGCACATCGGGAAAATATACGATTGAAACCTCCTGAGTGCAGACTATATATAAAAGACCTATAGAAGTCGTCAATATACAGAAGATTTGTACAACTTTTTTTTATCGGAGTTAGACCTGATTACCTCCTATGCCTAAATAAGACTATTCAGGTTTAAAATAGAAATGCATGATTTGTATGAATAAAAAATTCATGGGCCTTTTCATAAGGCATCAAAAATCGTGAAAGGCCTTCAATATTCAAGGCTGAATGACGTTATATTGATGTATGGTGAAAACAAAAGTCATTTGTTTAGAAAATAATAAATCAAGACACCAAGAAGTGCATATGACAGAGTTGCTATTCAGATTCGTATATAGATTTCGTGCGTTATTATTGATGTTTCGATATTTTCTTCTGGTAAATCTGAGATCTGAGCAGAAATTACAGATTAGTGTCATAATTTGCAGCTTCTGGGAAATTTTTTTATTTTTTTCCAATGAGATTTTATTTTGTCAATGTTCAAGCCCAGGTGTAGTGCTGTAGGATTATGTCTTTGTCATATATTTTTTTAATTGTCTTTCAAGAATTTTCTCCATTGAACTGTGAATTTTTATCTTAATAATGCATACCTCCAGAAAAACATTTTCCAAACCAAAAACTCTGATTGGCTGCTTTTTCATGTTGATTTTTTTTAAATTCTATCAATATTTGAGGAAAAAACGTGCATGTTAAAAATTCATATTTTCTATTCCTAGGTTTCAGGTTTTAATTAAATTCTTGTAAAAACTAGAAAAAAAGACTCCAAACGATTTTTTTCTTTCTTTTTTGTACGATTCGTAGGCTTAGCAGATGGCTGGATGGTTGGCTCGCTGTTGGTGTAGTTTGGTGTTTTATGAGTTTTCAAATTAAATCACACTTGGCAGGTCAAAAGTCTGTTTCAAAGAGATGTTTTTTTTTTTTTCATTGAGCACGTTTGCATGTCCTCGCCTACACACGAAAACCACGTTACGCAACACACCCTTCTATAAAATAACACCTCAATTTGCAATGGCCTTCTTACAGTGTAATAACTTTTTTTGCAGAGTGGCTGAAGGTTTTAATTGAAGTGAAATTTGTTTCGTTTTTTGTCGTGTTTACACCAATTCATTTGACATTACCTTCTGTGTTTCCTCCCTTTAGCTGAAATTAATCAAAAAACGGAAACGGAATATTTTAATATTATTTCGTGTTTTTTGTTGTCGTCGTTGTTGTTGTTGTTTTTTCTCTTCAAGCGAATAAATAACAAAACAATTGTTTTCTGGTGGCATATTTTTCATTGTTTCTATTTACTTTTAGGTTAGGTTATGACATCTTAATTTTTATAGACATTTTTATGAAGGATGAAGAAGGTCATCGCTTCTGTTTGTCCTCGTTTGCCGTCTTTTGCTGAAAGTGTGTGTATGTGTGTGCGTGTGTTCGTTGTTCTTTGTGACTTTAACAATTTTGTTAACATTTTACGGCCCCTGCTTTTACAGCTTGTTTTGTCTTAACGTTTTGACCTTTGTCTTGTTGTTTTGGCGTTAAGGAATTTGTTTGGCATTTCCTTTCTCTTCTGCCCTTGCGAACACAAAAATTATTCACCGTTAGAGAATTTCTGCTACATCCGCTTTTTATTACAATTGTTACGCATTTAGTTTGTCAGTTGCTCTTGTTGTTGCTGTTTTACTATTGTTATTGTTGTCGGTCGTAACCGGGTGTATTGCTGTCATTTTCATTATTTTTAAAAGGTTTTATTCTCTTAACTTTCTTGCGAAATGTGATCAGACCTGATGTTATTTTTGGTCTACAATGTAATTGGCAAAACAGGAGAGCAGGTGTTTTCTATCTTTGTTTTCGTTTCCACCCCACCGTGAAAGAATAACACACGACAGAAATCGTTGTTGAAAATTTACTTTAGCCCGTAAAGAAAGGCAAATATGGACGGTAGTTAGTGGGCTGCATGCTCTACTCGAATTGATATGGAAGTTTTGGATATCTTCAAAAGAATGAGACAAATTTGGAAAATGAAGTGAATAACCAAAAATTAATTAAAGATATAATACTTCTTTTCTAGGGAACTGATCTTTTTAGAAGCTATAGAAAATTAACAATTATCCCTTGTAATTATAACCGAACCCTATAGAAAGTTTTAAATATTTTTAAATGGACGACTTGGAATCTTCCATATAACTAAAATAGAACATTTTAACTGGCGTATTTTGTATTCTCTGAAGTCATCATGTTGTATATTTATATATTCAGACTACACTAATATATCATGTCAAATTTTGCAAGTTATATTTTCTTTTTCGCATCATAATATAATTTAATTATTATTACTTTTTTTTAATTTCTTCCCAGCACACTCTTTATTATTATCACGATTCGAATTTGTACTCCATTTTGTTTTTTCCGCATTTTTGTGTCCTTTTCTCCCTTTAAATATTTATTTGTTTAATATCACGAACAGCTTTAGATAAACTAAAGTGTTTAACCATGAGTTACTTGCGGATATTTTTTGTATTTGGCTTTCTCTATCTCTTTTGCATTTTCCGCAAAGCTTTTAATTTGAATTTGCTTTTCAGATTTCGTTTTTTTCTTATTTTTTTCATCCTATTGCTTTGTTCATCACTATTCCCTGCTTATTTCCTTAGCATTAATGTTCAATGAACACGTAATGATAACGAAAGGAATCCTGTATAAAAAAGAAACTACGACACAAGCAACAGTAACATTGGAATCCTGACTGGCAATGAAACGATAAGAAAGCTAGCTGGCCAACTAAATTCCCATCCAGTTTAACAAATGTGTACACGAGCAACATTTGTATGGTATATAAACGACCTGAGCAGGACATTTGTTAGCTGGCCATTCTGTTTGCTTTAGCAGCACTCGATGTCCTTGTGCCAAGGACCACAGGGTCAGTTGGATATTTCTTGAGTTTCACAGCTACCCAGTGAATCATTCAGTCTTCTTCAGTCTTCCGAGGAGATGGATGAATGACTGCATAACAAGTATATGCTTATTTAACTTGAAGACCTCATGTCTGTCCGAGTGGACGATGGCGACGATGACGACGACAACGACGTTTCTTCGTTTCTATTTCGTTTTTTTTTTTTTTTATTTGGAATTTTGTTTCATTTTTTCTTCAGTTCAGTTTTTTTATGTTCCATGAACGGAAATTAATGTATGAGCATTGCTGTGTCTACATCTTGCAAGTTCCTCTAAGTCTCCTTTCCATTCTTCCCTCCTCCATTCACTCAATTTTCCTATTCATATTCATTGAACCAAGTGAAAGAAAATCAACTGAAGACAGGAATAGCAGGCGGAATTGAAACAGATTTAAATTGACAGATACTCCATCGTTGTGGTATTGGTGGTGCTGCTGGTGCTGGACCCAGCCAGAAATACAACACCAACAATTCCAGCAATTTATATTGGTTTCTATCAGAAATCGTAAGCGTATCGACTTTGTAGCACTTTTCAATCAATGTTTTGCCATGGAAGAGATCGGTGATTAGATTTTCTGCCATTCATTGTGTTCAGTTCGAGCATTTAATTGATTAGAAAGTGTCATTAAAATGCTGCTGCTACTGTTGTTGTTGTTGCTATTTTGTGTTTCTTCTTCGTCTTCCTACTTTTGGTGGCTGTCACTCGCAGTTAAAGAAATGAGCAACATAATGGGAATGTTGACGTTCATCGTTTGGGGTTTTTTGTGTTATTTAAATCAAATTACAGGGAATTGAATTTGGGAAAAATGCTTTTAGGAAATATATTTTGGAGGGGAAGATGGAAATTGAATTTCACAGATAATGATTTGCTTATTCGGTTTTGTTTTGGGGTTTCTATAAAAAGGTTATAGTTAAAATTGTATGAAAGAAGTCCTTGAAATAATGTCAGTGGGAAATTTAATTAAATTTAAAAAAACAGTCAGGGTTTTCTTAGAATGACCATGAGTCATAGAAAAAAGAAAACTATTTTGAAAAAAAAACGCAGTCTATTAGAAAGTCTTGGGTGTAACATTAACGTTTATATTGTACAATAGGCTGCAATAACAGCCCTTGGCCGAGTAAAACCTGGACAGTTTCTGGCCGTAGATCTGACAACCCGATCATGCCTTTCATATACATATACCAGTTACAAATAAAAAATAAATAAATAAAAATCATGAAAACAAGTTGTAAGCAACTTAAAAGTATTTTATATAAATTCTTAAGATTAATTTGAATTTTTGATTTTACGCATTGAACTGACAACCGCAAATAAGGTTGTCACAAACAAGACGACATCCACATATTTCACACACAGACATGAGGCGCCACATACCTACACACAACTTTCATAACGCATCAATTTCAATAAACAGTTATTTAAAACTTTTTAATGCACAAACACCCCATAAATTCAAACAACACTCACACATGCACAGCACACACAAATAAGAGAAACAACAAAAAACTTGATAGTTGAAAAGATAAAACTCATAGCAAAATAGTCTGACATTTGATTTCCCTGACGCACAAATACCAACGAGAGTATGTATGTGTATGTGTGTGTTATCACACACACTCCTCTTGTTTTTTAAATCGTTTGTAGCCATTCACGTTTTCGTTGGAAAAGTTCAAACTCCATAATGAGATGCGAAATGAAATCATAAAAATATTGGAAAAACTTTTTTCGTTGGGCAACCCGCGCAAGAAGTCTTCAGGGGAAACATGATTTCATATTTTTGTTCATTGATAACGTATAAATACTTGTATTTGTTGGTTGTCGCCACAGACGAAGGAGCTTTACCCGAGAACAAAAAAATAAAGAATCGAACTGTTTAAAATTTGAAGGATAAAAATAGTTCGGCAGAAGCAGCAGCAGCAGGAGGAGAAAAATGGAGAACAACTTTTGTCTTCATTTGCAAATGATGGCAAAAGTTTTATTTTCAGTGTTTCTTGGAATTGTTTTCTTCTACCAAAAATTTCCATTTAAAATAATATTAAAAAAAAAGTTAGCACTTTAGTTCGTATCTTCCTATTAGAGCTGAGGAAATGGGGGAAAATAAATATAACGATTTACATTTTATTGAGAAAATCACATGTACAGTTTTGAGCAAGCACTTTAAGATTGTTTCTCTAAAGTGATTTTGCAAGTGTGAGTGTGTGTGCGTGCGTGTTTGTGTGAGTTTGGATAGTTTATGGAATGATCTGCCAAAACAAATGGCCAAACTGCTTTCACAAATTTGTTAGGTTTGTCAAATTGCCATTGTCACTGTGCCAGAAGAATTCCACCACATTTTAGGCAAAGGCGAAGCCAAGTCAACTGGATGAGTAGATCCAGCTGCCAGCAACAGCAGTTGCCTAGTGTTGAAGAAATGACATAACAGTTCTTAAAGTATTCATATTTTTGTTGTTGTTGTTATTTTTCCAAACTAAAACAAAAACCAAAAAAACGGAAACGTGCCAAAATGACAAATTACTAACAACTAAATAAACGCTAATTTCTTGCTTGTCCTTTGCATCCTACATGGCCCCATGTGCCAATGTTTTTTTTTTCTTTTTTCACTAGAGTTTAAAAGTTGTTCGCGAATACTTAAAACTGTTGAGGAAAAACTTTTCTCATTTTGGCATTTCGAACTTACCTTTGACCATCGACCGCAAACTGTTCGTTTTGCAAATACAATTTGATGTAAGGCTGACGTGTGTGCAATTTGTAGCGGCAGTTTAAGGCTCTGGGATATAGACCAGGATAGGCAGGCGATTGAACGTAACAGGTTTGTAGGCGGCAATCACGATATTCGCGTTCACAATATGATCTGGAAAAGGGAGAAGAAAGAGTTTTGAGTTTTAAATTTATTTAAAAATATATGGAAACAGTGAAAACTGTGTTTAAATTTAATTTGCATTGAAAATCCCCCTCAATGACTAAGGTAAAAGTTCAAAGCCAAAGCTCAGCGTTCAGAATTATTTCCAAATGTTTATATTGTACATTTTCCAATAAATATGGATGTTATGTTCTTCAAACAGAACTATATCGGAATTATTATATATTTTTTTTTTTTTTGATTTTTGGAAAAGTTTAATTGAAATAAAATATTATAAAGTATTATTACACGGACCATAGACTTCAAAGACGAATTAAATAGAATAAAACATTTCAATATTTTTTATTGGAAGAAACTACACAAACATTAACGCCTACGTACACATATACACTGCTAATGCATATGAGGGTGGACCGATTTGATAATGGTTTAACAAACTGAATTATTTTTTTTTAATTTTTGGCAGCTGCTTTACTTGGATACCTTCTGTTTGTACCTATGAAATTTCAACCAAACAAGCAGCGCCTTGGCATTTAGGGAGTCTTGGGCTTATATGGACAGAGATGTGCTTCCGAAAGCCATAACTGATAAAATGTCATGGATAGGTTTTTCCCGTAACTAAAAATATACATTAATTTGATAAAGTACCTCTCTTTGAAATCTATGATTTTCCTTTCATACTTTTTAGATAAACTATTGATGCACCCTAATTTACACACATACAAATTGTATTGTATTTGTATATGTAAATGTTAAGCCTTAAATTTGACAATAGTTTTAAATTTTGTTTAGTTTTTTTTTCTGTATGCCTTAGCATATGCTACACATTTAAACAAATTACAATGTCTATCGTAATAATTTAAGGATATTTGGGACATAAAAATTTCATTTGAATAAACTATTTTGTGGACATTTAATTCAATGAAGAAATAAAAAATTATATTCTAGGCAATTTTCGAGACTATTGTGCGGTAATAAAATAAATTTTAAATCAAATGAGAAAAAAATCAATGAAATGAAAAACAAAAAAGTAGAACAAAATTGTTTTGATGGAAAATTAAATACATATAAACAAAAACCATTGAGTTCCAAAATCATTTAAAATTCACAGCTATTTAGCCACAGCATACTTCTGGGCTACTTGTGTATTCTGCTATCATGGCAATAATTGAATTTAAAATTTAGCTTCAGTAAATAGCTTGTAGTCTAAATTATTTACCTAATTTAAAGAAATTGAACTTTTACATTTTTTTTCGCCAAGGCGAGGGGTGTATGAAAGACATCCAGGATATTCCCACCCTGGCCCAAGAAACGTTGGTTTTGTTTATTGTCATGAAAAGCCAATGTTTATCGAATTTTACGGTAATTGAATTTCTTGTGTAGCAAGCAAAACGCAACATTTCCACGAGTTCGATGAGAATTTCTTGTTGAACAATATCGATATTGACTTTGTTAGTATTTGGCTTTGCTGCTGTTATTGTTACTACACAACCACTAAGTACATACATACACATTTCCCTATTGCTTGCGTGCTGGGCTTAAGGGCAATTTTTTTGCAGTGGGAGTAGAAATTCAAAGCTGATGTCGTTATCATTACATTTTTTGGGGGGGAAGGGCAAGGGCGTGGAATATTACGCAATTGTGTTTGGTATTGTTTGCGGCCAACTTTCCTTTTACAACGATTGCGAATGTTTGTATTGGATTTTTATTAAGGCGTAAATATGATTATGGTTATATTTCTTCACGCACTATGCCAGGACATTTGAATGGCAGCCATCACATTTGCCAAATGCTTAACGCATAATAATAAAAACAATGAAGGGAAAAATAAAAAAACAACAAAATAAAATTAAATTATTGGCAATATTACCCATTTGACAGAGCACAACACCTAAGCAATGGGGAAAACTCCCGACAGGGAACTCGTTTTGTTTCAATACAATTTAGAAAATTATTTTTTTACTTACCCCTGTACAACTTCCCCCCGGCGATTTGGATACAATTCTGGATGTGGGCCATAGCGGGGGTAAACTTCAGTTTGTTGTTCGGCACGAGAATCAAATGTAAAGTAAGTCTGAAATTGGATACAAAAAAGAAGAAGAGAGAAAGACAGAAAAAAATAAAACAATAAAAAGGAATTAGTATCGAAAGTCAAAAAGTGTGCCATAAAATTTTATTTCCTTATCAGCCTAAAGGTATGCTAAGAATTTTAGTATGTAAGGCAATTGCTTAAGATTTTTATGTGTCAGTTTTATAGGAGTGTGTATTTGCACACAAACACATACTCCAAGCTACTAATGTTAGGAATATAAAATCACATTGGCCACTATTGTGTGCAGAGAATGGTAGAGATTTCTTTGCCCCATGGAGTTTGTACTGCAATTTAATATAAAGTTGAGGTACTCTTTAGCCACTTGGTTGATATGGTAACAATTATGGAAGCGTCAACGAATATTATTCTCTTTTTAATTTCGATCCTTCTTTGCGTATTCTTAAGGGCATAACCTATACAGTATATTTATTATCTAGATATGTAGAGCACCATTCTCAAGTTACTAAATGAGTTTGATCTTAGATATGATACTTTTACACGTATGCGTCTTCATCGAATTTACAGAATGTAGATTATTTTGTTAAAACTTGTTGAAAATTTAATAAAAATAAATTGTATTCAAAATTTCCCTGCAGAATAATTTAAATTACATTCAAATTGAATTTTCTCCCTATTTTGATTATTTAAAGAAATACCAAGCAGAGCAAAACAACAACAACTAAAACAGGTCGTTTGCATTCGGTAGTATTTTTCTGTTTTATTCAAAGATCATTAACCTTTTCCCCAGTCTGAAATGATAACCTTAGCGTTTTTGTCAGCAAAACAAATGTTACTTTTCTTGTAAAGCTCTTCATTACTGGCATTCGACAGTGACAATCCCCTCTAACTTCCACCTGACAGTCATTTTCCACCACCTCCACCTTCATTCATTCATTCGAACCGCTTCGTTTTTATTGTGAGTGTTGGTGTGTGTGTGTGTATTTTTCGTATAATAAACTTTAGTAGTATTTTTTATATATCCTGCATCCTGCGCTATGCAAACATAAAGATGCTACGATGAACAACAGTGGTAGTAGTGAACTGCATAATTTCCTCTGTTCACCCACTGCACTTTGTGAGCAGCAGGCTTTCGTCCCTTTTGTCTCTCCAATGCTTGTCAGCCAGGACTTTATTCGTCTAGCTTCTTAGTTATTATTATTGTGTTACTATCATTGGGACTGGGGCCACTGCTAACACTCAATGTTACTGCTGCAACTTATGTTGATGCTGTAGTTGTTGTTGTTGTTGTTGCAGTTGGTGTTTTACAATTTGTTTGTTTGGCTGTTGTTTTACGGCTGATGCCTCTGCTGATGCTTTATTTCTTTCGAGTAGTTGATTTTGTTGCTGCTGCTTTTGTAGCAGTGGTAGTTGGTATCATTTAAGCGAAGCATAAACAGGAAGAACTTATGGCTTGATGAGCAACAGCTAACTCATTATAATGGCTTTTCATTTATTTTTATTTTCCACTTCCACATCTTCTACTCAGATCATCGCTTGTATTGTCTGTTATAAAAAAAAACTACTTTTTGAGTTTTACACTCGACAAAAAACTGGCTAATTGACTAATTTAATAGATGCATTTCTCTATATGTATAGGTTAACTATTAATAGAAATGTAAATTAAAACTTACAGTAGAACTCTTGCGTATACGTAATAAGCATACTCATACGCATGGATTTACCATAGGGGCTTTTTCCACTATACAGGACTGATCTCGCAGAATAGTATATAAGAATGCCCAAAAATAGAAATCGAGTAAATAACCCACCCGAACACATTGTATTGTTAAAAAAATCCCAAAAAATCTTACTCTAAAGTAATTGGCCCCTTCCATTCTTATTTATCCGCGTACTGTGGCATCCACACATATGCCATAAAAAAGTGTTAGAGAACATTTTTAAGCTGATTAACCTCATAATTGAATTGAAAAGTTTTGTCGAGTGTATTATGTGTCTGTACAGTTGCCACTTGCATTGGCAAACATAACAAAAAGTGAGTGTATAGACTCTTCATTCTTTGGCTTGCTTGGAAATAGAATGGAACTTAAAAACAAAGCAAGGGAAGGCAAAAAAGCGTAGAACTAAAGTTTTTCATAAATATTTATGACTTTATTAAAGGTGGTCTGAAGAAAAACTACCAACGACACAACGACGGAGTCGTTGAAGGCTATATGGATGGGAAATATATCTGACTCCAGCTTGCCGGCTGCTGTTTCTGCTGCTTTTCTCTTTGGCTGCCTGTTTGCATTATATTACGATAGCGGAAGAGTTACAAACTTTAATGTATAGAATATGTCAAATGACGGAATGAGTCAGGGAATGAGTGAATGAATGCATAAAATCTAAACGAAACCTACAGACAACAACTTTTCCTTAGGTTGCAACTATTGTTTTGTTTTTATTTACAAACTATTTTTGTGCGTCTGTCTTAATGTAAAACCCACCCGCCATCAGCCCATCATGTCTGCGACAGATCATCATAATGGTAGCTGAAAAGTTTGCCAAGTGTGTAGCACAAAAAGGATTTATAAAAACAAAGATTTGTCGAACAACAACAACAACAACAACGTACAGGGAATCAGAGAACAGACCGACAAGACGGCAAACAAACGAAGAGATTATCATGTTATGGATTATGTATCAACAATTTATTCTTCATTTTCTTTTGTCGCCTTTGTTCAAATATTGGAAAAGTCCGCCAAGTATTGTCATCGAATATAAGAACATATCTTCATTAGTATTCAATAGATATGGTTTTATGGAATAATTGGATTTATATTAACTTTGTTGTGCAAATAATCTTCGAACAATCAGGGCACAGAAGGGAGAGGAAAAAAATAAAATTAACTCAAGAAAAGTTTGTTGTTCTTCATCGTCTTCATCTGGAAAGTTTCGATAAACTGTAGCTTAAGAACAAAGTAGTTGGTGGCAGTGTTGGAAATAATAAATATAAAATGTTTGTGAGTGATTTTTGCGACCTATACGACGGAATTATGACTTGAATTATAATCCTCACTTATAAACTCACTGTGAAAGATTTGTATACTTTGTATATTTGTATAATTAACAACAGCACGTATACGTACGTATATAGGTTGTTAATTGAGTTATTGAACATGAAATAAACATAAAATAAGCATCAATACTTAATGTTTCGAAGAAATAATCGTCTTAACAGATGTATAATTTATATAAATTATTTATATTTTTATACTGAAGTACTTTAATCATAATTAATGTTGATAAGTACTTGAGAATTACTCATCATTGCCAGAAGGTTAAACGATACTGATACTCAAATTCTTGATATTTGGTTTGTAGAAAGATACACGTTAATCATTACATTATAATAGGGATATGATTTCATTTCAACAACATTAATTATACGTATTGAGAAATGTACTTTATTAAATTGAATATATGAGCATCGTAAATTTCCACAATTTAACTAAAATATTTCTAAACGAAATTTATTTCGAATTGTCTTCCTCACTCCCTTCAACATATCAAATTTATTACCTAAATAAATTTGTCAATTATTTATCTCTATGTATGGTAATTTATACATATTTGCTACTTTCATAAATTATTACAAACATATAATTTACAGCAATCAGGTCGTCGTTTTTGGAAACACATAAAATCGTGCAAAACGACAGGAAAAAAGAGAACAAATTTTGTATCTGCCACAGCTCATAAAGCACACAAAAAATGTTTAATAATATTTTCATGTTCAGAGGAAAAATTACGTTGAAATGTTTCCTGTGTGTCGCTAGAATTTCATTGTAAAATATCGTTTCCCTCTTCATATCCGCCTATAAATATCAATGTATATAACAGGATATATCAGCCATCGTTCAGACATAAGTAGTAGTCGTCGTCGTTGTCGTTGTTGTTGTCGTTTGTGGTACATAAAATATCCATAAATATGATGGCTCATTTCGTTTTTGTGTCTGTGTTGTATGCATGTGCATGTGTGTGTGTGCGTCAGCTTATATTAAATTGCATCAGCTTATATTAAATTGCATCCTGTATATGTGTATGTATATGTATATCACACATATTTACCATCCATTTACATTCTATAATGATTCATTATTTAAATGAATTCTCATAGGCTGTCGTTTTTTTCTTCTCGTTGCTGTTGTTGTTGCTTTTCTACTGAGTTTTTGTGGTCGAAAGTAGAATGTTTGGGTAGTGGACTGACTGACAACGTCCTTGCATAAATGAAAATATAAATATTATATAATATAATTTGCATAAATGACAGACAATTCAATTAATAATGCAACAAATTAGGTTATGGTTTTCAAACTTTAAATGGTGTCATAAAATGCCCACTTTTTTCACACTTTACAAAACTGAAAGGTAGATATTTACCAAACATAACCACACTTTAATAAACATTCAGTGTAAGCAAACACAAGCTCACGTACAAACACATACACACGCACACGTATTTGAAAAATATTTAAGTAGGTGGTCGGATGCATTGTAATGCAACAATAGATTGTACCGATTTGTTTCTAGTTGAAAGGACTTAAAATCTAATGAAAATTAAAGAGGTGAACGTTTTTTGATTTATGTATGTTTTTGACCGTATATGTAGTCATTTGATTTTTTGAAATATGGGAATTACATATGCTCAGGGATGGTCCGTGTGACGAATTTTTAGGTTTTCGACTGTCAAAAAGGTGTAAACGTCAAAAAAGTCATATACCTGTATAAAATGTAATAAATGTAGTAAACGTCATTTATTTCAATATTATCACCATATAACGTTAGTTCCAAGAATATATATTATTTTTACATATATCTGATTATTCCTTACAAGTACTGATAAAAATTTCTAATTTTTTTTTTGAGAAGAAAACTTTGGAATTTTATATGGATTTGAGTAAAGCATGCGTAATTTCCAAATTGATTAATGGAAATAGCTATTTTGTCAAAAACCTAATGGATTTGGGTAGGTTTCCGACGTTTCTGACGTATGTATTATACGTCGGAAATGTATGTCATTTACTGTTTCTAACAGGCCATCTCTGTATATGCTTTAAAGAAATTACAAACCAGATTAAATGCGACAAATTTGAAGCTTACTCAACATATGTTTATGCTTTAAAAAGTGGCACTTACATAAATGTTTTGGCTCCATTAAAGGCAGTTTTTTATAATTTCTATAGACAGTTGTGGACACATTTCTCCATAATTATTCATACATATTTTTCTTTTCTATATTCAAGCCCTTTACAAATAAGAGTAATTGTTTAGACTAATTATGGCCTTTGAAGGAATCTCATCTCTCATAAAGATGTGTCAATTTCTATTTCCAAAGCATTCACCATAAATATTAATCTTAGGACTATTAAATTCTCTAAATACAGATGTTTGAAATACATAAAATTCGCAACATTTTCCCCAAAATGAAATGTCACTGGAAATTTTATACAAAATATCATTGACAACATTTTCATTTCTTTCGTCGTTCCTAATTTGTAATAATGTTATTTAAGAGCATGTCATAGTTGTTGCTGTCGTTGTTATTCGTCAACAGTATAATGATAATAATAATACGGTGCATGAGAGACTGACATACGCATCACTAATGACATGTGTCACATAGCCAAACGGATTCACAAAATATTCAGGTAAACAGATAGCATGTCCAGGCGTTATGGTCATTTTTGCACACACAAACACACACACAACATGTTCTGCGTTTTGTATATATGCGTAGTTTTACACTTGTATTTGCCTTGGCACATTTGCAAAACATGTGACACAGACACACACACTGCCATCCATCCATAGGTGTATAAGTATGTGTGTGCGTGCGTGCTTGTGTGTCAATATTTGATACATTCACTCATATTTACGCTTTAAAACTGGTCTTCCTTCCATTAAGGGACACAGCAATGAGCGCAAACGGACGCACATTGACGCACCGACACTTGTCCGGACAGACACCGATGTTTTGCTTTGAAAGTATACGTGAACACATGTACTTTTAATATTATGAACATCCTATTTAGTTGACATTTAATGCAGTAAGGACATGCTCGTATCCACCAGCATAGACCTGCATCGATGGGCCACTACTACTGTGCGTGCCAGTTATTCTGGCATTTATGAACATTGACGCATGCAACGTCAGTGTGTGTCGTCCGTCTGTCAGTGTGCGTGCGTGTAATTGGGGTTCCCTTACATTGTTGCCTCCGCACACAGTTGCATGCATGCGTGCCTGTGTCTGTCTGTGTCAAGTGTATTATAACAATTCTCTGTGTTGACAGTTTGTTATACGACTTAATACACGGCAAGGCTGGATATTTATGAGTTTGTATTATGGATATTTCGCTGTTAATTTCCGCCTTGCTCGAATGATTCACTTTTGCCGTTTCGTTTGAGCCATCGATATGCAGTCATCGCTGTTGTTGTTGTCTGTTAGCAATCACTGATGAAAAGTGGGCGCGCGGAGTTTGGGGGGAAATTTGCAAATGAAATGAGCGAAACGGCACACGGCAAATAGTCGTTATGATATCATGGAATCAATTCATTCATCGTTATGTAAACGAATAGGCTTCCTAAGAGCTGACATTCGACCACCACTACCTCCACCACCGCCAGAGCAGCAGCAGCAGTCAGCCAGTCGAGCCAACCAGCATGTCATTCAAAGGCATTTAATGAATTGACAGACAACGATTGAACGAAAGCCCTTGAGGCAAAACAGCGAAAAAAGTGAAACACGAAATCAGCAAACACAACAAAAACGGCTTTTATTTTATCGAGTGAAAAATGAGAAAACGGAAATTTGAATCTTTACTGCATTTGGTGATAACGGAAATTTTGGAAAATAATTCATGTTCAGCATTGGGAACAGCATTTGACATTTGAAATGCTTTCATTTAGAAACGAATGTATTCACTGACATGTAAAGCTGATAAGATAGTTCAATAGTGGTAAAAGGATGTGTAAAACAAAATTGCAAATGAGACGACAGTAAAAACAACAATGTTCCAAATAGTATCCAACATGGAACAGTGATAGTTGGGGCGTATACTTAATGACATCAGTAATACGTAGGTGGTGGAAATTTTAATTTTTTTATCACAAATTAATTAAAAGGTAGGAAGAATTTACATTTTAGCATAAAAAATTGTTTTATGTTTTAAATTTTCCTGTTGGAACTATGTACATGGATAGAACTATTATTCCGATTAAGAAATTCTTTAGATATCCGGTAGATTTCAATCCAAATATAATAATATAATATACGTTTTTTTAATATAGTGGTAGTGATATTTTATGTAGGCCTGTTCAGAATTTCATTTATTCGTCTGTTTAAATTTTTATGTATGACCTATGTTCAAAATTCGAACAGAAATCGGGCCGAAATCTTCTATTTCAAGTAAGATTTTCTAGATATTAGGCTGATATAAGTCAAAAAATGTGATAGTATTGATATTTTGTACATTTGGTTACATTCGAGCCGCACTCTGTCCAAACTATGGCAATTTATTCTGTTTAGATTATTAAACACATTTTAGTGGTGTATGCTTAACACCAATAGTTACACGTACGAACGTCCTCGTTGTTATTTATTAATTATTTTTAATTCCATACATTTAATAATAATTTAATAAATTAATTATTTATGACTAAAATTGACAAACTTACCTGATCAGTAAAATTATCGGTATGAAACATAACCTTCACATAACTCGTTTCACTGATAAATGTTTGCGGTTGTTCAGCTTCACCACAGAACATACCCGGTTCTCGACGATTTGACACATCCGTTTTGGCATTGCCATCGACAATCTGAAAAAAATAGAACAAATAAAAAAACACCAGAAATTGAAAATATGGAAGAACAAAATTGAAAACAACAACATCAATTGTTTATTAAAAATTGAAATTCATCACACGATTGAATTCAAAGGAAACATCAAAAATAGAACATACAAATATTTTTCTTCTCTTCCCATGAAACTTTCAATTCTATTGCCTGTTTCTTTTTTTGGCGATTTGTTATTGTAAATATATTTCAATGTATGTGAGAGCAGCTAGACGTATGAGGCAGGGCGATATTATTTATACAAAGTGGTTTTGGTGGGTAGAACTAAAGCAAATAAATATGAAGATGTCAACTAGAGGATGATTATTCCCATATGTCATCATTTATGCTGAAAGTGTAGCCAAAAAGCAACGTTCAACTCGATAGAGAGACAGAGGGAGAGAAAGAGAGAGAGAAACGAATATATGATGTTGTTTGTATTGCATATTATGTGTATAGGATTTCTATATATGAAAACGAGGTGAGTCTGACAATTTTTTACAACTTAACTTCGTAGTTAGTAGATTTAAACACTGTTTGGCCGAGCTAAATCGAATATCTTGAATGTAAGCCGTATAGATATGTATAAAATATAAATAAAATTAAAATATAAATCTTATTTATTAATGTCAAAATAACACATTTATTTAACTGACTTCACAAAAAAAGAAAAAAAGATTTGAGGTCAATATTAAATTAAGAAATTGACGTATAAATAACGACGTAAAGTATACGCACTAGTGTCCTCAATTACACCCTGAGTAAGTTATACTTATATTAACTATTTCACTATTTTCTTCATACCAAACTTCTTCACTTGCACTACGTACAAACTCACTTCTCACAATATACACACGCAAGCACACACACATAGACATCTTGAATTTCATAGAATTTGACACATTGCACAAATAGAAATATTCTACAAACATTGAGTACGTGTGTATATTTTCGGGGGAAAATAATTTAGACTTTTGCTACTGATTAGTATGACGTCCATATGCCCGTATTTGTGATAGTCGTCTTGGCCATAAAATATTTTGGCTATCTAGAGATGAAAAATCTTTTATTTTGTCAAGATTTTCCAGTAGGAAAATACCAAAGTGTGTGACACGGCATGTATTAGGATATATGGTCCAATGGTCCGTCCATTCATGGCAATCATACTTGGCGACGAAGGAGAGGCATATGCTTATGCATGTCAGTAAGTCAGTTGAGGTTATATTAAGCAATAAATTTAATTTGATATCTTAGTCCTTTGAGTGCCTGGCTATAAGTGAATACATAGTCTGATGGTTGTGTGCGTACGTGTGTGTGTGGATCCGCACGCTCGTCTGTACGTACATATGAGTGTGTTAATGCTTGTCTACCATAAATCACAATTCTCCTGAGCCTGAAAATGCTAGTCTTTCATTCGACCGGATACAAATGTATGGACATTAACAAATTAGATTTGTTGTCTAAAGACATACGCCTGGGCTAAACACACACGCACTTACATGCATAGATGTATGCTATGTATCATGTTAGTTCATTCTTAAATGTGTGGGTGTGTTTATATTTCAAATTATGTACATTTTCGAGATAATTCATTTAGCTTACCTGTAAATAGCCTCCTTCACAGTGTGTAGCATTTAGCAGAGTTCCAACTTTAAATTTCTTAAAACGCAGCCGTAAAACGAAGTCTCTTGGGGCACCTTTTAACGTTCGAAATCGATACCAGCATGTAAGTGGCCGGCCCACATTTATGTGATTCACTTCGGGTGAACTAACATCTTCGAAGATATCGACAGTTTTATTACATTGATCTTTGGACATGTCAACAGAGCCACCACCTGAAAAAAGAGCAATTAAGAATTTATCATTTAATATAGATTACTATAGGGAAATTTGACAAAAGAAAACAAAGTATTGATAAATAACACGCAAAAATTATCAGATAGTTGGCTCCATTCATACAATTACATTTTGGACTTCCATTTTTTGAGACAAAAATAAATAAATAAATAAAGCCTAATGTTGCCTTTACTGTGAAAAAACCGTGAGCTTCTGTAACAAATTACTACATAAAAAAATATTTCATCCAAGTTCCATAGGATCCTCCTCCGTATACAATTTTAATTAGTCAAATACTAATTTTGGTCTAGAAAAACTGACTAACAGTTAGCGAAAATTTTAAACTATTATCACTTGCAATACAGCATCAATACAGCTCTTGACCAGAACATTAAACCATCGTGAAATTTCGTATTTGCCCATTACAACACATCATCAAATTTTTGATTTATTGCGTAAATTCTTAACAATGTGTAAATATAAAAGACAAATACTTAAACGAAGCGAAATCCCACCATATGAGCTACGTAAATAACAGGTATTAAACACATATAAATTACACACACTCAGCAAAACAAGTATCAATATTTGTAAAAAAAATCCAATAAAAACCCCCTAATGCTAAGCAAACATATGAACAATGGCAAAAGTCAACAGGCAGGTGAACAAAAAAAAAATAAATAAATAAAAAAAGAAACGAAAAAACAGACTAAAGTATCTAAAGATCCAGCTCCTCAAATAGTGTTATAAAATTTTAAATTATTATTTGACAAGACCTCCAACATTGGCAATACACAGCACGCTGGCTCCTATCACAAAGGACCGGCTCGACGACAGCAAGGCGGTCGGGCTGGCCATTGATGCTGACAACGAGGAGGACTTTGGGCTGATTGTAATTTCTTTGGATCTTCAGTTTGAATTGTTTGATTTCGGCATTAAAGCACAGCGTCAACAAAACTCATTTTCAGCCGCCAACTGAGCCGCTGCTTGTTTTCTTGTAGCCCACTTTGCGGGGCTGGTTGAATCTCTTTAACGTTTATGTCACTACTACGCCCTCAAAAACAGACATACAGTCAGAAAACGGAATAAACGCCCTTCGACAAACGACAACGAACCCTCTGGCCATTATGCAAAGAGAAAAAAGGAAAAAAAATAAAACGGTTGGTTATAGCTGACACTGATGTTGCCTATGACGCTGATGCTGCTGCTACTGATGATGATGAGTACACGAAATGAATGACTATCGCCAGGAGGTGGAAATGAAGTGTCGAGAAGAAGGAGGAAACTATGACGAAAATGTTGATTTTCTCTTCTTTTCCACCACCCCCCAAAACCCATCAAGTAAAACAGCAATTGTTGGACATAGCACTGTTTTCACTTTGCCAAATACAGGGTGACACACAAACACATTTCATAACAATGAGTTTGGTACATTTACCCGCCTGTTTCATTCTTTCATGATGGACTTCATTGTCCTTAATTTATTTTTGTGGTATTTTTTTAGTGTTTGCTTTCTAAAAAAAAACAACGCACACACACACTTGTAAACATCGAGCCATGCTGCTGCCGCCACCATTCATAGAAATAAGTCTTTCAGTTTTTGCATGTTTTTTTTTTTTGTTCTACTCAGGCTACAACCAACCATCCAGCCAACATAATTTTTGTTGTCCTTACTGTTCTGTACAAATCAGTTTTATATGGAACACAAAAGGGACATTGTGCTGAATTTGTAATTCACGTTACCGCCTTTATTACAGAGCCCGCAGTAGCAGCAGCCCAAGTTTTGCGAAAACACATTTTCAAAATGCTAAAGTTTTTTTTTCCTGCGCCGTGTTTAGATCTATTCTTTTTTGGGGGACAGGCATTACACGGCCCGACTGTCAAGAAGAACAAGAAAACAACAAAACTAGAAAACGAAAATCATCAGTGAAGAAAAACAAAATCAACAAAACTTCAACACAAGATGAAGATAATATGACATCGGGTGTTTTTTATTCACACTTTTATAGGTTCTGGTGATACCCACACCCAACTACTTTGCTGTATAGGGTGTTATTGTTGTGGAATGATTTAAAAAAGAAAATGGAAAATTTTAGTATGAAGGAAAGTATTGAATTGATTTTCGATTATTTTTGCTTTAGGGGGAGCTGATCCAAGTTGACTTAAGCTGGGATCGACTATTCAGAACGTAAACTTATTGCAGATTTTTGCTTGGACATGTGGTTGGTTTGTCGTCATGTTGTGATCAAAATTGATAAATTTGAGACTATTGTCGTTGAACTTAGTTCGAGACGATCCAGATTTTTTCCACAGGACAGAAAATAATGACGAATTATTATCAATCATCGCAATTAATGATTAAGAGTTTTGCGTTTTGAGTTTTATTATAGAGGCGTTGTGTATCTTGAGTTCCAATATAATGGTCAATACCACAATATTATTATAGATGCCACTGCAATCGCTCCCACAGAACTGAATCACAGTCTTTTTTGGGGAGAGGACATAAGAACAGAATTGGACAATTGCACAAAACTGGATTGACAATGGTGCCGTTTATGTATAAATTGGCACTTATATAGAAACAGCACCATTGTCAAGCCAGTTTTAAGAACTTGTCCAATTCTGTTTTTATGTCCTTATAGATAGATATTATTATTTGTAGATAGAATCTGATGACTAAATTAAATAGCATATATGGAGTGATTCCATATAATAAGGAAGAAATCTCAAAATCCCTTTGGAACTAATACAATAATTATGGGAATGTTCAAAATCCTATGAGAATTTAGGATTTCTGAGCTGGTGTCATTCAGATGTCCTCCCCACAATATGATATTGTTTTCTTAAGTTTTAACATGGATTAGAATTCGTTTCGTAGAGGGGATAAAAACCATAAACCCGCATATCCATAAACCCGAGTATTGTTTTAAATAGAAATCATAACTTTGGGGTAATAACATAAATTGCCTTACCAATTTTAGCTCATAGTTTTTCATTTAATTGAACATTTAAAATATGTCTTTATCTTTCAAAATTTCTACTATGATTTGTCTTCTTCTTCCTCCTCTTCTATCTTGATTCAATGATCTTTTAAGCATCACAACAAAGTTTACTTTAGTAACCACTACAATGCATTTGGAATAATTTTCAAGTATTGCTTCAGCATTCCATCAAACTCTTGCGATTTTTTCCGTATATTTTTTTCGAGTAAAGCTGTTCCACTTAGGCAAAGTAAAGTCAACAGCAGCAAAAGAAAAAATGTAAAAATATTCAACAACTTTTTCAAGTTTTTAGCTGAATTTTCGCTTTTAGTTTCCTTAGCATTTGAAGTATGCTTCAGCAGTTTGGTTGGAGGACTTTTTTGTTTTTCAGTTTTTTTCTTTCGCCTTGTTTTAGAAGTTTTTAATCAAGACAGCATAAAGAAGCACTTTTTTTCTTACAACAATCTTTGGGGCTGGCAGGTCTTCCAAAACGAAAAGGAGCAAAAATATAAGCAGATCTATTAGACATGTAACTACAGACCCCCCAAAGACGAATATAGAGCACAGGACGTGACAGTCATGTTTTATTGTCTAAAAACTCCTTGCCGGGTTTTACATCTTGGACTTTGGCTGGCTACTCGCGTTTTTTGGTCAACTTTGCTTACCAATTTGCATTCAACGCTTCTCATTGTTAGACTTTATTAGTGTTGATTTGATGTGGCAGCAATGGTTTCTTTCTTTCTCATTCTCGTTGCTGTTGTTGTTGTTTGTGTTTGAGTTTTCTTTGTCCTCTGCCATTCGTTAAGATAAAAACAAAAAACCCGAGGAAGAAGACAACTCATGATTTGTGATTATATATTCGCTTATTATTCACTTTGCATACGAATTGTTTTCTATGAAATGAAATAAAATAATCAAATAAAACAAAAAAGAAAATTCGAAAATACTCATGCAGGAGTGAAACAACAAAAAAGTTCAATAAAAAAAAACAAATAAATGCTAAACTTTGAAAAAAGAAAATATAAGAAAAAAAGTGGTGGGGGACACAAGTTTGCAGATGTAAGGTTGCCAGGATGCTAATATGATGCCCAGGCAATGTCATTGAAGCAGTTGTACTGAAAAATCATAATAATAATCACAATCACCAATCCAAAACATGTCCTTTCCCCCATTTTCTTTCCTATTCTTCATCAAGTCATCGCCATCAGTATTACAATTGCAATACAAAAAACAAAATGAAAATAATTGTGCCTCGTTGTTGTTCTTGTATTTTTATGAAAATTTAACATCTATGCGACAGGAATAATAAAATCGGCGAACACAGCACCATTGACGAGGGCAAGAACAACAAATCTTTATGATAACTTCATGTCAGTGAGTGTTTATGCCACACAAAAAGGAATTATTTACCATAACAACCAAGTCGTTCTATGGAAAAAAGTATGAATTGAAAAAAAAAAATTGTTATTGAAATCAAGTCAATTTATAAGTAGAAAATTAAAAAAAAAACAGTATATTGTAATGGCCAACAAATATCCGGGAGAAATAAGTTCTTATATTTACACTGGTACAAATAAAAATAAGAACATAGGGGCCACAAATTACAAATATAAAAAGAAAACAGTTAAAAGGCAATAGAAGCTGAAACCAAACAACTTTTGCCAGTACGTTTTGAAAACTGTAAGTGAACCTAGGGGAGGATACAGGGCTATCCAGCCATCCCGCCTTTAAACGGTGTGCAGTAAATACGTTGCAATGTCGAATTATTTAGTAAAAAGTATGTTCTAATGGTAAATTTTAGTTAAGAAATTTTTTATACTCCTGTTAGAAAAAAAAAACAGGCAGTGGAAATCTTTCAATTGATTTAAAAAAAGCGACAGTTTTAAGAAGGAGTCAAAAATTGGCTACAGGATTACAGTATCTCGGCCATTATATGCATTCTAAATGTGATCCTAGAAGGTTTGTTAAAAAGGAACCCAAACTTTGTATTTCTTTAGAAAAGTTAATTTACTTCTGAA